GGCGGGGGGTGTGTGTGCGGCCGGTGACAGCCTGCTCCGAGGACCCCGGCCCGTGCTGGGCAGTGGTCTCGGGGACCCGGGGGCCGCGGGCTCCTGTGCTCGCAGTGGCCTGTTTGAGCATTCACTCTGGCACGGCGAAGTGCGGCGTTCGCGGCCGTGGGCTGCCTGGAGTCGCGCGGCAGGTGCGCGGCCTCCCCCTTCCCAGCTCGCCCGGCGGTGTGGAGGCCGCAGGGGCGTTCCTGAGGCCAGAGCGGCCCCCACACCCCTGGTGAGCCTGGTCCTGTGCCCTCGCCCCAGGCACCCCCGGGGCTCCAGGCTGTGAAGGGCGGAGTTGGCGCGCTGCACAGGGGGACGCTCGAGCGCTTCCTGTCCCTCCCTCGCCCGCTCGCCCGTGTCCGTCCCTCCCCCACCCGTGTCCGTCCGTCCCTCACCCATGTCTGTCTGTCCCCCGCCCGTGTCTGTCCGTCCCTCGCCTGTGTCTGTCTGTCCCTCGCCTTTGTCTATCCCCTGCCCGTGTCCATCCGTTCCTCGCCTGTGTCTGTCTGTCCCTCACCTTTGTCTGTCCCCCATCCATGTCCATCTGTCCCTCGCCCGTGTCTGTCCCCTGCCCGTGTCTGTCCCTCACCTGTGTCCGTCTCCCTTTCGCCCGTGTCTGTCCCTCGCCCGTGCTCTCGGGAGGGCCCTCCGTTGGGCCGTGTGGGGGCCCGTGCGGTGTCTCCTCCCTGGCCGTGGTGGCCGTGGTGGTCGTGGGTCCCCGCGTTAGGGTGGTGACAGGGACCGTCTAACCCAGTGTCCTTGGCAGACTGGCCGTCGTCTGAGGGGTCCGCGGAGTCGCATTCTGTCAGCCCTCTCCTGGAGGGGGACGAGGATGACGAGGAGCCGCCCCCCATCCTCCTCTACCACGGTACGGGCAGGGGCCAGCCCAGCACCCCCCTTTTCTTTAAATGAGGAGTTCTCACCGTTTTTACCGAGTGCCGCAGGGTGCGGTGTCGCAGAGGGCCTGAGGGCGGGCGGAGGCACCTGTGGGCACGGTGGCGCCACAGACCCTTCCTCGTCGCCCCGCTTGGTATTTGGGCACATGTGGACGCACGCGTGCTTTTCCAGCCAGCAGACCTGGCTGTGCTGGCCCGGCCCGCGCGGAGCGTGCTATTGGGTGTCCGGGCCACCCCGGGTACCCGCCCAGCCTGCCCTGATGGGTGGCTGCCCCCTGGGCCATGGAGGGGCTCCTAGCAGCTCTGGTGGCCGCACGCTGCCCCTGCCAGAGGGCACAGACCCCACCCACTATGGCTGCTTGGACCGCAGAGAAGGCTCCAGTGCCATGAGGGCCTCCGGGATGGGCCGGGGAAGGGACGGCAGGGCGAGCCGGAGCCGAGCGGCCGCTTCCTGAGCCCCGGTCAGGCCGTGTCACAGGGCAGTCCTCCCCGGGTCCCGGCTTTGTCCTGACCCCAGCCAAGGTGCTGGTCCCGGGCTCTGGAGGAGTGGAGCCAGCCCGGGGCAGGGCCTCACCGCCAGCCTCCCTCGGTGCGCGGTGGCGTCCTGGGGCACTTCGGGGGTCCCGAGCGTGCTGGCACAGCCTGCCTGTGTGTGGGTGCATGTGAATGCGTCCATGCATGTGTACCATGTGGGGTGTGCGTGTGTGTGGACATCACATGTGTGTGGACTGCATGTACTGCGTGTAGACTGTGTGATGTGCTTGCATATGGTCTACATGTGTGTGGATTGCATGTGTGTATGTGGACCGTGGGGTGTGTGCATGGTTGCATGGTACAGGTATGTGGACTGCATGTATGTACATGTGGGCCGTGGTGTGTGTGGACTGCACATGTGTACATGTGGACTGTACTTGTGTGGCCTGCACGCGTGTACATGTGGACTGTGGGGTGTGTGTGTGGGCTGCATGCGTGTACATGTGGACTGTGGGGTGTGCGTGCGTGTGGACTGCACACGTGTACATGCGGACTGTGGGGTGTGCGTGTGTGGATTGCACGCGTGTGGGCTGCACGCGTGTACATGTGGACTGTGGGGTGTGCGTGTGTGGATTGCACGCGTGTACATGTGGACTGTGTGTGCGTGTGTGGGCTACATGCGTGTACATGTGGACTGTGTGTGTGCGCGTGTGTGTGGACTGCACGCGTGTACATGTGGACTGTGGGGTGTGCGTGCGTGTGGGCTGCACACGTGTACATGTGGACTGTGGGGTGTGCGTGTGTGGATTGCACGCGTGTACATGTGGACTGTGGGGTGTGCGTGCGTGTGGATTGCACGTGTGTACACGTGGACTGTGGGGTGTGCGTGTGGACTGCACGCGTGTACATGTGGACTGTGGGGTGTGCGTGTGTGGATTGCACACGTGTACATGTGGACTGTGTGTGTGCGCGTGTGTGTGGACTGCACGCGTGTACATGTGGACTGT